AATTTCTTAATTTAAAAGTAAATATTAAGAGAACACACCTAAATATTGATTTTTGTGTGTCAAGTGGTATGTTGAATGCAGCAAATACAAAGTTTAAAGTTTCTTATGAACTCATATTACCGATATTGACAAGCTAGAATATAAAATAAGAACCTCCTATCTTTTCTATTTGCTTTTTTACCTATCATCCCACTGCTCCTTCTAAACGTGTATCTAGTTCCTAAAACTCATTTTCTTTCCTGGGGGCATGCCCCCAGACCCCACTAGAAATGGTAATATGGCAAAAGCTTAACCACTCCAAAATTGCTTCCTACGGCAATGCGGGTATAAAACTGAGATTCGCTTGGATATAGAGCGAGATATTAGTATTTTATATTCCAAGTTTTATGTAAAGCAGGAGGTAGCCAGGCGCTGATTAGATACGTTGGTTTGTTTTAAGAGTGGATGTTTCAACCCCAGACGTTTTTATGAATTCGGTTTTGAGTTTAAGTCAATTTATAATACGATAACCGGAAGAAATATACTGTAGTCGTCTTTTTTTTTTCGTCAAACGATTTTAATTGGCAAATACTGGATGAATCGCTAACCAGGTTTTCTTCTTAATGCCAGGTAGCTTATAATGGTTTTAGTCATGATAACTGCATACACTTGTTATTTGGCATGTGTATGCATGAAGGTGCTTTTAAAATGGTGGAAACTTTTAACAGTATCTCCGTAAGATAGTTTAGCCTATTTGAATAAAATGATACTTTTAGCCTATTTGAATAAAATGATACTAAAGACACTGCAATAAAAGTAGTGTTATTGAACAAGCAATGCTTCTCAGCTACTGGAGGAAAATATTCATTTAATATAGCAATCCGACTAAGCACATTTGGTGTAGCATGTGATTAGGGAATAGAGCGTCGATGTTAAGAACACAGTGCAAATGATGACAAAACGAAACATTTATTTTTTCCTTTGTAATATGGAGCGTGTTGTGATTTAATAAAGCCACTATTACAAAGCAAAAAAAAAAAGTTTCTCGTTTCTTTAGTGTTATGGAAAGAAACAAATCCACTCTTAAAGTTGTAGTAACAATTAAATCGACAAGGAAAATTCATGTTTAAATATCTTTTCTATCAACTTATTAAGTTACATAACACATTGATTGTATTAGGGCATAGATGAAAATTGCAGCCTCACTCTTGAGACGTTTCACTCCCGCGTACTCAGTCAATGATGAGGACTAGAATGAAATTGTTCTTGATGGTCTCGTTACGATTATTGTCATAAGAGAATCTAATTTAGTGAAAAACCAATAGAAAGGGGACTCCGCCCTTTAGTCGTTTGCTATTGGTCGACATATTTAATAGTACGTGTTTTGATTGGATAAAGGTTCTAGTCTCTAATTTAATGAAAAAAAAAGTTGAAAAAAATATTTCGATCAGTTACTGGTTGAATTAATCCGCATACGTTTGAATATTTGAAAAATAAATCCTTGGAAAGAGGAAACAACCATACGCTTGCCAGTACAATATAATGTATTGGTAAGATAACTAACCAGCCTACGTTAAAGTGTAGTTTACATATGTTAATAAAACATTTTGTGTGCGAACTTTGTAATTTATTTTAGTAATAATATTTTCGCGGTATCATTAAGTACAGAGAAGAAAAGTATATATATAATATACACACATCTGAGCTTTACCAGTATAACACATTTTGTGCGTTTTCTTTTTCTTTTTTTTCAGAAATACATTACTAATTTTGTTTCAATCTTAACTTCAACTCCATTTTGGTTTTGGTTTTTCAAACACAAAATACATTTCTATTTAATAAACAGTGACTAGTATAAATGTAGCTTTAATTGGTTTGTGAAAAGTTAAAAAAAATCAGAACGATAATATTAAATGTTTTAGTACACGAATTTCTAATCTAAACTTCCGTTTAATTGTTTATGTTACTGGAACTTATTGAGTTTTTTGTTCATCATTCATTGCAATATATCGTAGATATGCTGGTTTGTGGTTCTTAATCAACAGTGTCACATCCCTTAGATGTTTGCAAACATTAGACAAGAAGGGTTTTTGTGACATGTATGTTTAGAAATAATATATATATAAAACTCAAAATATGAGAACAAAGGAGTAACATAAACATTGGCTATTAGTGGTATTTACTAATTGTGTAATTAATAGCCCCAATTGATTAATACACTGTTCCTTCAACCATGATACATACAATAAAAAAAATGTTTGTGGTTAATGTTGCCAGCCAGTTTCCTTCCCTTCAGTCAGCAGTTCACTAACAAAAAAAGATTGGTGGCAGAAATTGCTCTCTACCACATCAGCATTAACGTTAGTAGCTTTGCCATAATAAAGACAGGTCTAATAAGTTTGGTGGGAATATTTCAATTATTTGAATATTTGGAATAATCAGAAACCACAATTTTCATTATTTTGATATAGTTTTGTGATAACCAATCAAAAACAGTAGTAATCAGAAACACTAATTTCAGTTAATCTATTTACTTATCATTTTGATTAATATGTTATTTTACATGATGTGATCACTGCTCATAGGCAATCTATTGTTTCGATTGATGGATTAAATAATCCAGCTCTATTGAGTTCTGCAGTAATAAGTGTAGAAATGCTAACCATCTTTGAGATAAAATGTAGCAAAAATTCATTGGCAGAATTTTTTAAGAATTTAAGAATCTTTTGAGTTTGTGGGTGATGTGAAGTATATGTTTTTGCAAGTCCCTGAACCATGGGGTAGAAGGGACACATATCCCACCACTTTGATTATATACTCTCATTAAGTATATATTAAACAAGTAAAGAAAAAACTTTTCAAAAAAAAAAGTAAATGTAGGAATGGCTGATATCAATCCTTCAAGAACAATGCAAACAAGATATTAGGGTTGGCATTTGCATCATCCGTACATAAGAGCACAAGCACACAGTGTAGTAGAATGTTAACAGACAAAAAAATAGGATAAATTAAACCCAATTGTCATTGAATAGTTATATATGTTGCTATATGTTAATCCTTGCCTGTGCTATTATGTAAAGATGATGCAAAAGCCATCCACACTATCTTGTTTGTATTTTTTTTTGAAGGATTGATCCCTAAATTTACTTCCCTTTTTTAAAAATTTGCTTTACTTTTTTTTTAATACCGTGTTTCAATAAACATAAAAAGGTTGTAGTTGTAACCAAGTTCTAAATACATTGAGGTTCCAACTGTAATATTTATTGTTTATCTATTATTGACTGGTAATTCCTGGTTCACCCTGTACTAAAGCTTTATAAAGGAATATCAAATTTCTATAAGAAAGCTAACTTCAAGGGGGGTAACGATAACATCATTGACACTAGAATTATAGGTGTTTTTTTTTAATTACTTGTAGTTATTAATAATACTTATAAAAGCAGATACTCCGTTTGAAACTATGTTACCTCAGTGAAATCGGTTGACACTATTTTTGAGTTATCATGTAGTACAAAAGAAGCATAAGAAAGAAGGACAAGAAATTCAAACTTTTTGCTATGATATTTACTCACTTTCCCAGTACTTGTGACTCAGTCATTACATAGTTATTGTTATAAAAAGAAACACTGTATAGTATTGTAACGTTCTGATGATCTATTGAGGAAATATTTAAAATACCATTTCGATGAACAATCCGAGCCATCTCTACATAGGCAATGTTACTGCCTGCTTGATATTTTATGCTAAAATACTTGTCAAATCTTGTGGGCTTACAATTAAGAAAACATAACTTAACAGAGATGAACAGTATATATTAAGTTTCTGAGAGCTGCTCATAACAAAACAAATTCTCCTTGCTTTCTTATGAGTTGTTACTCTTTTTTTCCCCCCACCATTTATTTCCAAACAAACTGAGTGAAAGATTAAAAAGAATATATATGTATCAAAAATAATGTTGATCATTTCATGTCATCAGAAGATTTTAGAAAAAGTTTTCTTTTTCATCCAGTGATTATAGATGAGTTTATAGCCCATTTTATTTTTAGTAGTTTTTCTCTCTTTTTTTTTTTTTTTG